ATATATATATAATGTTTGGGGGTTTTAAAGTAATTTTCAGGCCTAAAAATGTGGAATATAACATGGCTGCAAAAATTGAAAGAAAAATAAATAAAGGCCTCAGTCATGAAGGGGTTAAATATTTGTGAATGTCAGCCCCGATTATCGGTAGATAAGATAATTGGTCAGCCCCCCTACTCTAAAACGGCCCTGTATGCATGTGGGATATGGACCTTAGACTGTAAGCTCCTTGAGGGCAGGGACTGATGTGAATGTGCGCCGTGTAAAGTGTTGCGTAAAATTGTCGGCGATATATACAGTAAATACCGGTCATAAACAATAAATAGTGCTTTTCAAAGCAACATTTCTTCACATATAAATCATGGAAACATCCAAGGTGCTCAATGTTTGGATGCATTGGCCTGCAGGTCCCATTTATGTCAACGGACAGGGATCATTTTCAGCCACCTCGCTTTTAACACGGCAAGTGCCACGTTCTGGTGTGAAGGAACCCTAAAGCTGGTTGTACACTGAACACTGGATTCCCCTACCAAAGAGCTCGGCAGGACTTGGCTGAAATCCGAGCAGTGAATGGCCAGATTAAAGGTCAGTATACACTAGAGCTGCTGAGCTTCTTCCAGTGCAATGCAAGTCATGATCAGCTCACCTGAGCACCCAGTCACACCACATTTGCGGTTTACAGTGTGTGCTAAACGCACTAGAGCTGACATGCGCCTTTTTACCACATTGCATGGATATGCTTTGTTTTTATTTCACAGCAGGAGCCAAAATACTTTTTTACCCCGAGGGCTTGTTCACACGACATCCATATTCTGTCCTGACCAGATCCGTGCGATCATGCACTAAACATGCATCCCAATGTATCCCTTTGTTTTATGGGCTACAGTTGTCACATGCGCAGTCCGTTCGGGTCCGGACAGAAAAAATACTGCATGTCACATTTTGACCGGTCCGGAAATGCAAAACGCGTAAAAAATGCACTGCAGCTAACATACTGATAGCCCCACTTTTTACTGGAACGCGTCAAAACCGCATAGCACCGTTTCTGCAGATCTGCTCCAGACATCGTGTGAACAAGCCCTAAGAGCTAGTTCACACCAGAAACTGCATCACAACTGCGTGCATCTGTGCAGTTGCAATGCGCTCCGTTTTTACGCGTTTTTGATGCAGATGCGGTTTATTCCCCCTGGATCAATTCTGGTTTTTTTGTATGTGTTCCGGTGCTTTTTGATGTGTTCTGGTGCAGTTAGATGCAGCTAAAATAGGACAAGCAGTACTTTTTCTGACTGCAATGGTGTGAATACAGCACGAGAATGCCCATAGGAAAGCATTGTTATGTATTTCGGCTGCAGCAGTCAAAATGAATGAACGGCATCACAACTGCATATGGTGTGAACTAGCCCTAAAGGTGCATCTCAGCACACTGACAAAGCTATGAAGCAAAAATAACTATTCGGGACCAGTAAGGGCCTCTTCCTCCGGAAACAACCTACGTCACAAAGATCTCCTTGGCTGAGGAAAGTGACAGTAGTGGCCATGAGACTTTGCATCTTTTTGTGTTCATAAATGTCTCCATTTTTGCCTCATATGGTAGGCTGGTGACATTCTGCACCTGTACTTCAATTCTGCGATGGTGCCATTCGTCTGTGACTTTAACACCCATTTTCACCTTTGTAAGTGATTTGTAGGGATGCACCTATACTGCAGAGTATTTGGGCAAGTTGGGGATGGTGTGTGAATGAGCCCCAAAATATTGAGCCGTTGCAAAGGCAGCAGTAGCCCTGTAACTGCTC